GAGTTTAGGATTTTGAACCCTAAGGCAGAGTTGGGGTCACAGTTCCATTATCGGAATTGCAGTCCTTTGAACGAGATTTTAATCTGAGTTCCCGTCTGATTTCAGATGGAATTAAGTATTCTATGGCACGACTTGAAAAGAAAATTTGTCTTGGTGTCTAAGCCAACAATCCTCCGCATAAAATTGATCTTTCACCTCATGGCTGTTTGTGGGACATTTACTGTGTGCAAATTGGTTGCTGCAGCAGTTGGCAGCCTACGAGTACAGTCACTGCACGTTTGAGAAAACTCTGAAGTCCTTTGAGAGGTTTTGATTGTATTGATAAGGCAAGTATCAAACACATCTAAAAATAGGAATGGGAACAATGGTAAACTCCAGTGGTCTGGAGATTCGTAATGGTGAGAATCGAGCAACTCATTATGATGGCTAGACTTGCAGTTTCCATTGTTTTTTTTTGTTAGCTTCCCTTTACTCTGAACTAATTATATAATACGCATTCATTGTCAGTATTTTATAAAATATATGAAATGCAAAAGTTGCATTACACCAGGTCACGGCCTAACAAGACCAAACCTCTACAGTTGCATAAATCACAGTGGCTTATACATGTAGCCGAAACTACAGTACGTGTGAAACGAGTACCGAAGTGAATAAGCAACCACTTTAACAGGAAAGAAAGTGCTGTGGTAGAATTGTAACATGTTTTTGTCTGGGCAGTGATGATTGATGCCTGGGACTCGCTTATATGTTGTAACAGTGTCGGGCATTATAGCTGATCGAGTGACTCAGGGAATAGGAAATTATTCTGCTTTCAATACAGGTACAAGTTTGAATTTCTTGTGATCTTACAGACTAATTTGTGTAGTGTAAATGGGGGTTAATAAAAGAAGTTGTACGCGGAGGCACCAGTGTGGGAGTGAAAGATGAAACTGGGTTTCATCAGCGGCAGCTTCAGTTGTAGAAACGTTCAACCTGATGATGTTGTTGTTGTTGTTGCACTGTGCACGGGAATCTTTCTGTCAGTGGCACTCTCATTGCATGAGAAAACAACTGCTTTTTACAAAGCCATTTGTTTTTTGACATGTTACTATGCCAGAGGGAAATTGAAACATGTGAAAGTTTTTGCATTGTTAACCGGGTTATTCCAACACTATTGTTTCTTGAATTCCACTAGTTTTTTTTTGATCTTCCAACACAAGAAGCTGGGGTTGGAAGATCAAAGCAACAATAGCACAATGTTGTAATACTTTGAGTTCTGTTGCTTTGAGTCTCGCAAAGTCGAGGCATTAATGAACAACTCTTTTTAAAAAAAAAAAAAAAAATTCAAAGAATGGGGCAACCTTTCTTGATGTTTCAGGGACTTGATGTGGTATTGGAGCTCTTGAGGATTTGCCGAGTGAGGATAACTTTCATGGGACACATCTATTGGAGTATAAAATGTAAACAATACAAATGCAGTGGAAATGGACAGCAAACAATTGTCTTCTCTGCTTCTATAATTTAGATACTATTGGAGAATGAACAACTCAGAGTTGGGGTACAGAATATTATACACATGACATAATTCACAAGTTGTATTGATTGATTGAGTTGAATAGTGTTTTAGTGCTCACACCGCACTTAAACCATAGCTCATCTCAACTACAACTAAATCTGTCTCCTCTATTAATTAAATAACCAACAGAATAGTGATATTAATTTAATGATGTGAGGTTGCAAGACCAAGCTTAAAAACACCAAGCAGGAAGCGTGGACCTAAAATATGGACTTACATTCTGCATTTGCAGACAGAATGAGATGGAACTGGCAAATCTGTGCGAATCAGTACAGAAACCACTGGTATTTATACAGTGTACCTGGAGTATACCATAGGTTGTGTTGGATGTTTGTAGTATTGTAGGTTGGCAGCATGAATTTGGTTTGAGAGAGTTGATGTGAGACCAGCTGAGCAGGGAGTCTTGTACTGGTTACAGTATAAATGCGTCCTGGTTGTTGTGACCCATTTTACATTTTTCTTGTTAGCACAAAGCCAGTGGTCTCACCTGGTCTTCATCAGCATTAAAGACGTAAGCATAATTCAGACGGGTCAGCACAGAACATGTGTGAGTGTGTACAAGGAGAGCTTTACTTTGGCTAAGTAGGGCACGTTGGTGAGGTCAGTATAACATAGACCGAGCGATGAACTTACCAGTTACATTTTGAGCATTGTCCCTCCAATCACCTCTGAAATTTAGTTATTAATTCACATTTTGCTGGAAATTTGTTTTGCATTCTTGTCTGGAACAAGTGACGACGGTAACTGAGAAACAGTAATGACGTCAGATGACTTTCAAGGTTACTTTTAACTAAATCAGTGATCTATCTTTGTACCGTCGTTATTGTGTAAGAAAATATTTGTCTTTGAATTCCGCTTGGAGCAGATTGCTGACATATTGGCTTGTGGAGTGAATATTTGTGAGCACGTGGCTGATCGACGCTGGAGGTGTATGAGATTTGCCCAGACGCTGTATATTAGGATCGTAAGCGTTGACGTAAACAGCATTTGACCGTGTCACTGTGGTTTGCGAAGAAATGTTTGGATCAGGAATTTTTCTGCACTGCGGGGAAACTCGTTTGTAGCTCAGCCCGATTCGTTCTGTCCAAAACTTCCCAAAGAAACATAAATCGACAGTACAAAGCACACACCAACCCTGGGCTAATGCTTCAATTAGTCCTGGTTGTTAATTTTTTTTTACCAGTGTCATCTTCTGCAATTATTTCCAGCAGTTCCGCTGTTGCCCACTGGGGGGCAAACTTGGACATGTTTTGCTTGTAACGCGCAACCTGAGGCCATACTCTGCTCAGAGTCGCCCTCGTGTGGCCCGTTCAAGTACTGCAGCTGTTGCTGACCGTTTTAAAAAAAAATACTGCACCTTGTAATTAATTTGTTGCTCTTTAAGCTGCTGATGAGATGACTTCTGTAGACCAGGCATTTTCTCCTGGCGTTACACGGTATTTTGTTCTGATTGCGTTGACACGCCAAAGCAGATGATAAATATGGATTGACGTTTTTTTTATTCAGGGCGAAGCCATAATATTTATTGTTAAGAGGTCAAACCCAAAAACGAATACATTTGTGTTTCATAGAATTAATAATAAATTGGTCACTTCAACCCACGACTGTTTGTGGGACACTGCTGTGCGCAGTTGGCTGCCGCGTTTAGCCCCACAAAATATAGTCAATTTACTTCGCAGTATATTCTGCAAGACGTCTCCAAGACGTGATAAGGCGCTATATCAAATCCAAGGATTATTATTATTATTGTAATGTAACTCTGTAATAACCTATACAGTAGTTTCCAAATGAAATGGAACGACTTTCTCAGTCTGCCGTGTAAAATTCTATCAGCACCTGTGATCTTCCTTCTCACTTTTCATCCTTTTCCTTTCTCTCTGCACGTCTCTGGGTTTCACTCCTCTCCCTAACGTTCTGCCAGAGGCGGCTCGAGTACCACTGACTTTGTGTTGAATCTGAGGTCGGGTGGCCTTGGAACATTGCATGTCACTTCAGCTCAAATTTGTTTCCAAAATGTGACGAGCAGGATGTCCCTGAATGACTCCGCTCTTAGCATTTAATAATTAATCAGATTTTAATGTTACGAGGCTTTCAAAAAGGTCCAGACTTTATTCCTGCTCACACGTGGCTCCTTGCGGTTGAGTTCAAAACAGCAGGCGGCCCCACCTCCTCAAATAAGATGGCAGACGGGAAGGAGAAAATATATTTAACGGATATGAAGATGTAAACAATAGTTATTTATTTTATTAAACTTCTTTTCCTTTTTTTTCACACAATGCACTTGACTTTTTAAGTTCTTATTTGACAAATGAGGTGCACAATTCACACCCAGGGATCAGTAATGTCTTTTTTTAATTTGCAGCAATACAAATAGCAATACTGAAACAAATGCATTATTATTATTATACATCAACATTCATCAGTGAACACTATCTGTTGACAAACAGTAGGCTGTAGCACAGGACGATGAAAGCACATGTTTCTCATGCAGCAAATCTTCCGAAAACGCATCCAGCAGCTTGTGAGATTATGACAAGTTAATAGAGTTTATTTCTGAGCTCTGATTTATACAAAAATAAGGTTAAACCGATAGAAAGCAAACTTAGTCCTTTATAGGTAAAAAAAAATATTTTTTTAAAACTCAAGACGAATAAATAGCTGAGCAAGACTGGTAAGGGCAGTAAATGTAAAAACTTGGACAGAAGCAAAAAAAAAAGCACTAGACATGACGAGAGAAGCATGCAGGATATCCAGAAGGTGCTAAATTGCTTTATTTTATAAACTCCCCAAACCTGGCAAGTGTTTCTATTCTGGACACTTTACACTACGATTGGTCAATGAATGCAAAGATGAGGATTTGTTTATTTTTGAAAATGACTTATAACTGGAGGGTTTTATACTGTGTTTGAATTCAATGTTTAGAGAGAACAAGTGATTGCTTTTTCTTAACGAACTTGATGACCCGTCCGATAACTCTGCACCACAAACTGTGACCGTCGACATCTCTCACTTTTGCAGTATCAAAGTCCACTAGCCAGGTCAGACAATGATTAGGCTTGTTTCAATGGTAGCATTTGCTCAGAATAATTCAACAACAAGATTACATTTGTATAGCGCCTCAACAATATACAGCACTTAATCTCAAGATAAGTTTCCTGCCAGCAGAATTCAATATTTACACTACAATGACGTTGTTGTTGTTGTACAATGTAATGGAATCTGGTTTCCACCTAGTTGAGAGCAAACAAATATTACGTATTTGTGTAGGTGATTTAGACTGCCCATTCATTTCAACGTAGCCATTAACTTTAGCTCTGTATCTCTCCCCTCTCGACTCTTTACCCCATCCTCGCTCCCTCCCTCCCTTCCCTCCCCTCACCATTTCCCCCCTGTTCGGGTCCTGACCCAACTGTACAGCGCCTCGGGACGTCCTCCCAACGTGAAAGGCGCTCTATAAATGGAATCTTGTTGTTGTTGTTGTATCCTCCTTCTTTCCCTGGACTTGCTTTCAGCCCAGACCTCTGAGGAGAAAGGAGAGCGCTCCAATTCCAGTGACATTTTCTTTGCTTTGCCATTTACACTTTTTGAACGTTTGTTGAAGTCGGGCAACAGAGATGACCTTCTTCTGCCTTCAAGTTGTCTTAGGGGATATTGGTGCTAAAAAAAAAACAGGATGGGTTGGATGTACAGCAAAGCCTCATCTTGTCTGCCCAGTAAAATTCTAGTGATGATTTGTGCTGAATTGTGGGCACTTTACTGGTGTGCAGTTGGGTTGAGATTTTCCAACTCATTCGACCTGGCGAGAGAGCGAGAGAAACTTTAATTTCTGTTTCTGGGTTGAATTCAAACTCCGTTCTACGAACTAGAAGGTGGTAAGTGTGGTAATAACCCCAGAAATGTTCACCAACTACTGTATAATGTTATTTAGCAAGCGAAAGATGAGAAATGCTTTGGAATGAGACGGGGCCCTTTTCACAACAAAGAAATAAATAAATAACTGGGATTTAATTTTCAGAAGAGTCGGTCTCTTCGGTTGATCCGTCACTCTCAACATCCACTTTTTTACGATAAGCAAGAGGTTTCCGATAAGCGAATTTTCTGCCTTGCTCCTTCTGTGGAGGTGGATTGCAACCATTGTTGGAGGCTGGTTTACCGATCATCTGAGTAATTCTGACGACGAACGACACAAACAGAGGTTAAAATGTAGTCTCTTCATAAGGACTCATCTCCCAAATGTCTAGAGGCCTGAATTGTGGAATTGAAAATACCGGAGAAATAGTTGTGGGGAAATTTATTTTTTTATTCCCACATTTGCACAAAATAATTTCACTGATGTTGTAACTTATTTATCATCCAGCCAAATGTGATTGCATTAAAATCGATAAACTGGTTTCATTTTGCAGCCATTTTAGTGATGTGCGTAACAGATTTTACAAGTAAACAGCATAAACTGAAATGCATATTACGTTTCTCTGCCTTTATAATGCGGAGAAGTCAGTAATGCAATTGGCAACTATAATGGGAAGTGCAGTATCTATTTCACTAGAGTCACTTACAAGATTTTATTTTTGACTGGTATTTGCCATCCATGGTACAGTGAACAGAGATCTGATAAACTGTTAAACTGATTCACACACATGCCATTCAGTGTATTCCGGACACCAAGAAGTGTGCCCTATAACAAAATAATAAGTCTTACATTTGAAATAGCGTCTTTCACATTCGGAGGATGTCTCGAAGCCCTGTACAGAATTCACTTTAGAGTGTAGTGACTATGTATTTTGTTGTGAAAATATAAACATAACAAATAATAATCCTTGAATTTGATATAGCGCTTTAACACACCATTGAGTAACTTTGTCTGTCCAGCACCTTGGGATGTCCTCCCGACGTGAAAGTCTCTATACAAATGTAATTTTGTTGTTGTTGTTTTAGAGTGCTTCATAGAATATATTGTGAAACGAATTGACTGCATACTTGTGAGCAAAATATGGCAGCCAATTGCACACAGTGTCTCACAAACAGTTGTGGATTGAGTGACCAAATGTATTTTGGACTGGAAAGTCAATCCCTGGAAATGATCAAAAATATAAAGGCATCTTCCTTTTGGGGTTGTAGTATCACTTGGCTGCTTCTGGGAGCAGTAACATCTAATGAGTTAATATATCAGTATAGTGATGGTGCAGCGTTTGTGAGAAGTACGTTCAAATATACTGCAGCAGTTCACAGCACCATTTCTAACACAAACATCTACATTGTTGGAGTGAGAACGACATGCAAGTTCTATTTTGATCACTCTTTAATATCAGCACCTATCATTTGACAGGTGAAAAATGTCATACAGTCTTTTGAAATGGAACTGAATACTAGGAAAGAACAGCAAATATCATAAAACATTTTCAGAAAATATTTTCAATCTTTTCGTTCTTCTTTCAAAACTATTTTGTAACGTTTAAGAATCCAGAATAATTTCCAACTTAAGACGTCTGTAAGAGAATATCTGCTAAAGACGTTGACCTTTGTAACTCCGTGTTTTTCAGTTGGAATTGTAAATGAGGCTTGAGTGCCTTTTTATTTATTATTATTCATTCATTCACGTACATTTTCTCCAGCTCTTGATCAGTTCCTGGATTTGAAAGGAGTTCGGTCTTGATAGGGAAAGTTCCTGCAAACACCAAACAAAAAATATTTACGTTGGATATCTCAGTTGCCATTGTCTCCTGTAGAACTCAATTCAAGGTTATGAATGTTATCAGGTTTGTTATTTTGACAATTTGACATTTCTAGATGACTTTGAATCCATTATACACCAACTAAATGCATTTCCTTTTTCCATTACTGGCCCCTCTCCCCTCACACACCCCAAAGCATGGTTAAGTCTGCTCCTAGACATTTAACCTTCCAGTGGTGAAACACTGTAAGTTTTAATACTACATGAGATGCTGAAGAACACATATGGTTATTTGTGGGTGCACAACTATTAAAATAAAAATGTTGGTTTAAACGGAACTATTGTTCTGGCGTTTCAATGTTTCCTAAAAGTGCTGAAGAAACTCTAAAGATTTGGTATTTTTCCCAGATTGGGGTCCAATAGGACAAACCTACCCAAAAGAGTAACTGTATTAGAGATAAGGCTCCATTTTAATAGATATTTTTTTACTGACTGCTTCATCACTATATTAAGTCTGTGCTTCAGAAACAATACTGTTTTGGTGGAAACAATTAGAATGATAAAGGTTATACCAAATCTCCAGGTCTTGTAAAGAACAGCGTGCCCTTTTGAAATGTTATTAGTATAATAAAGTTGTAAATGTCAAACTTCAGCAAGATGGTGATCAACAACAGTTTCATTGTGCTTAATTCACCCAATGACCCTGCCTTCCATTCCATTTAATTACCTGCTGTAAAAGGTTACAGAACCACCCTTTGCATGAAAAGGAACACTGCTTCCACCTGTTTAACCTCATCTAATGTTAAACAAGAAAAACATCTGACATTAAAAATAAATTGGCCTCAATTCTGAGATACCAGCCGGTTATGTACTATCTGACACAAGGGCTTTATAACTGAAATCTCGGCAGTCTCACGAATTAAGTCAAAATAGCGATTTTAGGAATCAGTTTGAATACATTTTGAGGCACATGCCCTAATTATTGTCTTGTGAGGTGTCACATCGATGTCTTTTTTCGACTGGTTTCTGCCTAATGGGCACCTCTTGACTAATGAGAGTTGCATCTCTTAGTTTGCTGTCTCGTGACCTTTAAAAATGAACTATATCAATATTAACTTTTATTCCAATGATCAGAGTGTATAGCAATGATTGATCTTCTGTTTGGAACCTTATTGTGATTAGTGAACAATGCTGCATTTTCAATATTTACTGCAGGTTTATCCAATAGATTAGTGAATATTATATGCTATAATAAACAGTCCTTAACTTGCCTGGATGACAAGTGAACAAACAGAACGATAGCAATACCATTGGAGCTGACACTGTGCCTCTTGGATTTCTTCGGCTGTGATCTTTTAGCAAACAGTAGTGATGCTTCCTAGGTGCATTAACAAGACTGCGATCAAAAATGCTTTGCTGACAATACACGTTTAAACTTATGGTTTCAATCTAGTTAAGCAGCAACATCAATCAGTTTTCATTTTAGAAAAAGATGACATAAGTATTTGAACTGATTGTGCTTTCCCAGAATGACACAACCTGATTTGACACAATTTGAGCAGTATTCTCTTCAGTCAACTCAGTAAAGAAACTGCCAATGCTCCATTGGTTAAAGCACACTAGTGTTTGATGACTGGAAATCAAACTTATAGCAAACAAGTAAAGGAACAATCTATTTGGCTGTGAAAGCCCTGCAGTGAAGGATTTAATTTATAGAACAATTGCTAGCATTTGTTAAGATTCAGGTCAGAGTGTTACGTTTAACAGAAGTGAGTTATGTCCATTCATATCACAGAAGGTTTAAACAATTCACACGACACGTATGATAAAAATAAGAAGCATTAGTTATGAGAAATTGATCCACTTGGATTCCTTGTGTCGAATGTTAATAGTTTATCATTCGGGGCAATAGATGTAGTTATACATTTGTATATGAACTCATTACAATCCACCAGGAGAGACTGCCACAGCGAATTATCGATCGTGTTTCATGCTATTGCTGCTTACCTAATCTGCAGTTGATCCCGTCATCTTTTGCCAGGGCCATCAGAAATCCATAAAATGTCACTCGCTGCACTTTCCAGAGGATTTCCTTTATGCAGGATGCTGGTGGGTAGCTACAAAACACATACACTTAAACTGCAGTTTCTTTTCCTACTTCTGTTTAACAAGCTTAAATGTATAAATGATAATTTTCCAAAAAGTGTGCAAGACACTTATCAAGATTAAGTACTAAGAAGGAACTTTTTGCCCACAAAACTTGCAGTATATTCTGTGAAGCGCTTTGAGACGTCTCGAATACATGATAAAGCACTATTTCAAATGCAAGGATTATTATTATTAACTTGTATAATCTGCTTGTACATGAATTTTTAGGCATAATATACCTCATATCTGGGATTGCCAGGATGACTATTGCTTCATCCCAAAGTTCTGTAGTTACCTATGCGGCATTGCTGCACTCCAATAGCTAAATTTTTTTTTGAAGTAGTTCAAACAAAAATAAATGAAGTGCTCAGGATATGGATACAATTGTAAAATCACCTCTTCACAAGAATTAAAAACATGTGTGCAGCATTATAAATACTGTATTATAAAGAGACAAGCCCATATCTCATTATGACAATAATATCATTAATAAGCTATGTATCTATAAATGGATTTTTGGACAAAGGGATCTCTTTTAGGGATGGACTTTTGTCAAAATGATCTCCAGCATATAGAAGCTTCAGTATCAGTGCCAATACTTTGATGTGCAGGGGATTGGGGTTAGCCATTGAGAAGGATGACAGTCGTGGCTCATTAGCTATCAGCAGGAGAGGGGGAATTTAAAGAATGTCAAATGAGACACTTCTACTTATCAGCTCCTTATAAAAGTTGGGAGGGAGCTTAAGTTAATTGTCAGTTAATTCCATGTGGCTACACTGAAATTATTTCTATTTCTTTTCCACCAAATGATTGAATTTCAAAATATATTTACATTCTCCAATACAGGTAGCTGGTTCAGTATATTATTGCAACCAAATGAGCAGTATTGATTATTATGTTAGGTAATAAATAAGACTCCCAGATGCTTGAGATCACTTGGATTATTATTTTGAGCAAATTTATAGATGCTTTTTCAAATGGTTTCAGTCAAGTCATAAAGTGAAAATAATGATCCAAAATCATGGGCTACATCTGGATTATCCTGTAAAATTCTTCTATAAATTGGCAGCCACTAACCAAAGCTGGGCATATAAAGCAGACCATGTCCCATGAGAATACATAGGAATGGAACTGGTCCTAAGAACTTTGCCTTAGTTAAAATCCCCCCTTTTAAGTGGAGTACAACTGTTAGGGTATCTTTGTGCCAGATGCTGGAAATTCACTGTTGAATCGGTATAATTTCATTGAATATAAAGCACCAAATTTTGAACACATTGTTCAATTAAAGGAACTTACAATGAACTGGATAAAATCACATATTAATCAATGAGGAAAAGCAACTCATGGTACCCCAATGGTGTTGACATAAAAACAATGTTAAAGAGATACTTAACTCAACTCTACAAATGATAAACGAAAACATATAATATAAAGTATATTTTAGCCCAAGCTAGAAAAGAACTGGGGAATAGATCCAAGCCAAAAAAAGCACAATCTAACTGTAACCTAAGAAATGCTCTGGGACGCTACCCTGCATGAGGGGCGCTATATAAATGCAAGTTGTTGTTGTAAGAAGATATCTTTTCATGACTCGGGGCAAAAAAGTCACCGAGCACAGTGAATTCCAATCAAAAATGGAAATGAACACGATTGGTTAAAACAGAGAATAGACAGGTAAGCGATTGGATAGTGCCAAGAAAAGACATAATTTGTTTTCCTATGAACGAGGATATGAATGACTGGTTTAGGTGGATACGATGGTTTCCATTCTTATGTTTTTACAAATGATAATACTGCTAAATCAAGTAAATGCACTAAGGGAACAAAACCACTTTCTCTTAAACTATTTATGTTGCAATTACACTAATCTGGTGTGACAAGGTTATGAGTCGAAATCAAGCTAAAATGCCCACTCATCTACCTACCAAAACAGTTCTACATGTGCGTCCTCAAACACATGCATACACAGCACCAAGTCCTGTTTTCAAAGGTTACTGAGTAATAGCAGGCTTCTTGACCCAGAGACAAATGGCTGTGGTTATTCTACAGCTGCTCTACTGGAGTGAGAACATCTCTTACAGGTAGTGTGGCCACTATTCTGCAAAATGTCATTGGCGTAAAATAGCTGAATGCGTACAGGGGAAAGCTAAGTCAGTAACACTGAGGATTCAGAAATGCTTATAAACCAAGAGGTTGTGGTTGTATTTAGAGAACTCAATCGGACGTCGATCCATTTCAATTACGGATAAATCTTCCAACTTTTAAGTTAGAAGTGTATGTTACTGCCAAATGTCCAAGTATTTTAAACACTATATTTGCTGAATCACTAGTGCTTGTTGCTGGATTTCATTTGGTTGCAGTGACAAAGAAGACCAATGTAGGAGACTAGGTTTACCAAAGTGGGTTCAGTAGAGGCGAGAGCAATGCTGTAAGATAGAATGTGTCTTGGGTCATGGTCACGTAGAGTGTTTAGATTAGATGTGCAGCCACGGCCATATTACAACTTGACTGGAGACATAGACTAAACATTAGGTCTGTGATCAGCATCACTGATGGAAGGGACAGATGTCCTTTTTGTCTCCTGGTTATTTGGACTATCAGGAGATGCAGTCAGCAGCTCATTAACCTTTACTCTGCCGAATAAACAGGAAGTTCATATGTTTAACACAATAAATGCTTTTAGCATTTTCTGATTTGAGGCTGGCTAACCTGGTAACACTGAATGATTCTGGCATCGACTGCACATTGGCCCAAAGATGACAATCTAATAAAATGCTACCAATACCTTTTGCAAGGAGTATTTATCACTCTGGTGCTAGGTTTTGTCTTGGTTTCAGTTTTAAGATGTCTCAGTGTGACCATCTTCCTGTGTTCTGTGTCTCAGCAGCTATCACTTGCTCTAGTTTGTGTGTTAAAACCTGACAGAGCAGATGGCGTAGCCAGACACAGTTCAAAAAAATAAAATTGGTCTATTTTACCCCTCCCCAAAATATTCTCTGAGCTTTACTGCAGACCTAAAGCATTTTGATTGAAGATAAAGCAGTGCACTACATTTCCATCAGGCAACCAATAACAAGGAATGGGGAAAATATAACCATTAGAGTGGCAAATACTGGCACAATCTCTGATTCGCTATTGTAATAATTTGAAGATGGCAGTCACTTGAATTAGTGAACACAGTACACAGTCTGGGCAAGTAACATTGTGACAGTGATGGTTAAGCCTTCCTTAAGGGAAGATGTACGAGTATCATTTCTTTCAAAAAAAACTCACCTGTGTTTATACCTATCACATAGTGTTTCCAAACAGTCATAAAACTGTGAAGCATCTATACCCTCCTGTGTTGGCATTTCACTCGATGGCAAATGGTGTTCTTCCTGCACTGAGGATGTGGGCACAATCACAGTGTTTGGGTTTTTCCCCATAAGCAGGTCTTGATAAATGACGGCAACACTTTCAAGAAATTCTGAGGGGGAAAAAAAACGATCAAATCTACATTATACATACAGTACTAATATTTTAATAATAAATAAATATGAGCTATAATTACCGGTGATATTGGATCCCCATTACAGATGGTTCCACAGAATTACATACAGTTGCAAATAAAAACAACACTTTCCATTTGTGTTGCTGTTCTAACCAAATCCAGTAGGGGTCAACAGATGACTGCAGGAATGAGGATCTTATGCAGTCCCATTTCTGAGATGTGTCCATTGCAGAAATTTTAGTTGAACTTTGGTCATGTGTACCCAAGGTGTATTTTTATTAATTAATTAAACCTCGACAGCTAGCCTGGAACTAAGATAATGGCGCCTTAAACTGTTTGTGCTTGTGATTTGGTACGAACGGCTGCTTTGAATTTGATAATGTTTACTAAATCTGCTCTCGATTATAAGATGGAGCATTATTGAGATGCCCTTCCTTACCAGTGATAGCATTTTCACTAAAAAAAACAAGAGGAGCTTGAAGTGACTGTAGTTCAGATAAAATAAAGATGCTCAGAATTTATTCTGCTAGACAACACACTCGAGAGTCCTGCGGTATCAGTTTGAGTCTGATTGTCAACAGAAAACTGGCTTGAGAGAAGCATATGCAGCTGGCAGCCTAACTGAGCAGATAATTCGATCTGTCAATAGAATGAAATTTCTACTATGCTAGGAGAATATGGTGTAATGGCAAAGCTGATATGGTAGCCATGATACAGATATGCAACAGATTCCACACTTTTGTCCCTATAATAAGATCCAGAAATCAGCACTTTAAGATTTTGAATATTTTTTGTGGTGGGTGGGGTAGGGGGCAAACATTGGATTTACTGTCTGAAACTCATATGGTACTTGGTGCTTTATCTTTTGTTCCAATGGATGTTGTGCCCATCACCTAACCGAGAGCTACAAGGGAAGCACCTACAGTTTAGAAAAAACAGGGGAAAGGATCCCACTTAAAGCAATGCTTATTTATCGCAAGTTAAATTATGTACTCAAATTTTTTATATCATGTGTGCTTCAAGTGACTTCTACCACATCAAAACCAACCCCCAGCCCTTGATTGTCCAGCATGTTAGGAAATCCTCCCGACATGAATAGCACTACATAAATGCAATTTGTTGTTCTTGTATATTCAAGCAATGATCTAAACCATATTTGACTTCAGAGTTCAAATGCTGAACCTCTCAAAATCAGTAGTCAATCAATATAAACTTACCACAATAGTAAAACTGAATCTGGAATGCGTACAGAAAGTCCACAAATGACATCAGGCAGTCCATTGCGTCATCCATAAGGACAATCCTGGGAAAGAAATCATACATACAGAATAAAAATGTCCATAACATCAAGTGTACCACTATTGTATTTGAACATTTAAATTTCAGCCTTTTCTGCTAAACATTCACAATATAGAACTTCTCGTATTTGGGGGTTATTTTCTCTATCTTATTGAGCATCTTATACGCCTATCAGTTCTTCTTTGAAAATACTGTTTTTGAGGTTGAACAGCAGTAACTTATCTACTTATTCTTAATAGATTATCTGTACAACACTGGTGTTCAGCTTTATTGCCTTCTTATGTTGTGATCAAAACTATATGTAATATTTCAGTTGCAGCCTGACCAAAGGCTGAAATACTGGCTATATAGCTTGAGCAAGATCTTGGCACTGTAGACTGTAGAGCAAGCACTAATTCAAAAACCTGTTCATTATACATAAAAAATACAAATCCAACACATATTTGGCTGACAGTCATTGCTGCTTGCATTAATACATTCTGTGATGTTAGATCACAGTGTCAGTGAATAAATTGATGCTGCCGATTCTTACTGTGCTGATATTGGACTAATTTGCGATGTGCAAAAAAGGGTATGTAAATAGGGAGTCCTGCAGATACCATATGTATTTTTTGGAACTCCACTAGATCACAGCCAAAGGAGATTCTATACTTATTTAATTTCCTGAGCTTGTTTGAGCCTCATTAATTTTATACTCATGTTCGCTTGGATTGAATGTAAATTTAAGCCTGCTTAGATCTAAATTGTCTCTGCCTCTCAGCATTTTAAGGATTTGGGTCATGTTCTTCCTCAATCTATTGTTCTCTGGCTTTGAGCTTTGTAAGTTCTGCCACCACTTAGTGCTTCAAGAACTAGAATTATTTTAGTTACTCTTTGAACATTTCCCAAGATACAAATTTTGAAGGAAGGGTGCTCAAAATCACACACAACTTTTCCAATGTGGTTTTACTACATTCAGTTTTCTCGCCTTGTGGGATTGTCTCATGTTAGTGTGTGGATCCACAACAGCCATATGCCCTCTGGTCATTCTTGTGAGATCAAAGACTATGTATTGGCAGGCTGTGTCGCGATGGGGAACAAGAATTCAATAATTCAGTTCAGACAATGCACATACATGGTTATTTTCTGGTAAGATCACTGGACTGATCAGTGGAAACTCTAGCTAACTTTTCGCCCCCTTTTCATTAACTGATGAAGCTAATATCAGCGATACTACTGCTGTCCATCCCTGATCAGCTACCTCAAAATAAGGATCAAACCTAGGACTTGCTGACTTGTACATTCAGTTTGTCAATAGCTTCACATTGACTGCAAATATTCAGTAAAAGACAAATAACCCAATTTATTTTCTTTCTCCATCACAGTGGATGATTGTCCCTCATTTTGTATGTGATTATGGTCATCTATGCATTAACTTTCAGTTAATTTACATCAAAATTGATGTGCTTTATTGGACCCCAATTTCTAGGAATACTAATCTTCCAACTTGTATAATTCAACTGCCTAGGTAGCTTGGCACAATCAGAAACCATCATTATTTTGCACTTCCTATTGCTAAATTAGTTTCCAATTCAACCAGCTAATATGCCACAAGTCTTAACTTTATAAAAAAAAGTTTCACAAGTGAAATTTCTGAAAATTTCAAAAAATTATATCTCCTGAAGAGTCCTCATCCATTATTCTTCTGAAATAATTCAGGGAGATTGGTGAGCCCTGCCTTAATGCTCCAAATCCATGTTGGGTTCTTCTTAACAGTACTTTCTGCTCCTTAAATGAGCTGATAATAAAATGCCTGATATTTAATTTGGTGTGAGTCTCGCTTTTATATAATGTCAGTAAAACCGCTTTATACTGCATTTGCCCCTGGCAGGGCTTGTGNTTTTTTAAATCAACCAGATTAGACTCTAACTTGAAATCCTAAGTGTAAGACCATTAATATTTATAACTACAAAACTTTTATTCAATCTTTGAAAAGCTGCATTGCTTGTGGTTTTTCTGTGTTTAAACGTATACTAAATGTTAAAACGACTACTAATAAAAGTGAACGTGAATTAGAGGGAGCACTTTCAATGTGAAGTACTGCTGCATCTAGGGAAAATAACTATGCAAGGTCTATGTAATCACTTTAAACAGTAGTATTCTTGCAGCTGCACGGAGATGTATTATTTCCGGAAGCTTTCCACAAAGCCAACAGGCTCAATAAATATTTATATATTTATCTTCTCACAAGTTGGAGAGTGCTACATAAATGCAAGTTATTGTTGTTATTACATTTTCATCATATGGTTATGTAGATTTTTTAAAAATATTTGACCTAGATTTCTAACCAGCTTCTTGGGTGGCCTATCTCAATGGGTTTAACTGTATTTCTGCTGTATTAATAAAGCTAGATATTGTGATCCCCTGTTTAATGATAATTTTGACAGTAGTACATTGCCTTTGTGGTTCCTGTTGTATTTAAATACTTCGCTCTCTTCAGTTTTCACTGCAGAAGCAACCACAACTTATAGTGCTGGAAACTTTGACAAAGGGTATTCCTAACATGGAAAATTTGATTAGTGTTACCTGCAGTGATGAGGATTGATGGAGTTCTCAAATTATATTAACCTAGCCGTGAACTACTTAGAAATTGTAAAATCAAATTTGTTTTAGATAAATTAGTGTTTTTCTTTATATGCCACCTCACCTTGCAGACTCCAGAATGTAAGCCTTGTCCCTTTTGAAAACATTAAAATTCATTACCATCAGTAGATATGTTTGGGTGGGGGCACAGCAAACTAAGTGGATATCACATTATCGTTTCACTGTGAAATGGTAAAATAATTTGCTGAAGTTGGCGACTGTTTGTGGAAATGAGCCAACTCCAACATTCCTCCACATGACTTCAGTTCTCTGATGTTTGATACCATTGTTTATAGTTTCTGAAATGTTCTATTGAAAATGTAAATTGTGGTCAGATCTGTATAAATCTAAGCTATTAATGGCCTTTATTAATTGTGTGTGGTGTGTTTGAAGTATGGCTGATTATTTTTAATTAGAGCACAAAAGCTTCTCGAAAATCATATGGTGAAGAGAATGCTAGTGCTACTCATGATCAATGCAATTGTATTTTTGTTCTGTCCTAATATGAGAATGAAAAATGTAGCAGTGTTTTTCTCTGTTAATATTCTGCAATATCAGCTTAATGCTCATCTGACCATTCCATAGGCAGATTGCACATAGTTATACATGTGATATGGAGACGTACACAATAGCATCATTGAACACCATCTCAGTCGTGTTTTTGTTATCTGTCACTGTGTTTAATTATACAATCTCCCTCCCAAAATTGACATGCTTCATATTTGGGTTGGGAGTGAAATCCAAGTCGGGATTTCATTCTACTTGACTACAGTTTAATTTAAAAGGTGCTTTTCAGTGACATAGTTAATTTACTTTTTTACTTTTACATAGTTATTTTGTTCAGCAAATGGAACTATAATGAATAAATTGTGGGTAGTGGGAGGAAAGTGTAATTTTAACAACGATAACAAAATTACATTTATAGAGCGCCTTTAACGGCAGGAGGATGTCCCAAAGTACTGAATAGTCAGGGGTCGGGACCTGAGCATGGGGGATGGGTTGTGTAGGGGTGAGGAAGGCAGAGAGGTGGGAAGGCGACCAAAGGCACGATCGAAGAGAAGGGTCTTGAGACCGGCCTTGAAGGAGTTAAGGGAGGAAGCGAGGCAAAGGGACCGTAGGATGGAGTTCCAGAGTGTGGGGGCAGAGAGGCTGAAAACCCGGCCACCGATGGTCGGGCGGGAGACATGGAGCAGACCGGAGCCCGCTAAACGGAGGGAGCGGACAGGTTGGGAGGGAGTCAGGAGGTCAGAGAGGTATGAGGGGGCAAGGCCATGGATGGCCTTGAAAGTGAGGACGAGGATCTTGAATTCGATCCTCTGAGGGATGGGGAGCCAGTGGAGTCGGGTGAGTTATGGGGTCATGGAGCCTGGTGCGCGAGAGGTCACGAGCTGCGGAGTTTTGTATGAGATTAAACCAAGTTGGCACAATCGTTTATGGACTCTATATGCGATGGGGAGTCAAAAAACTCCTTACTACTTTTGATTCTCTGGATCAACTTCGACTGTTATAAGCACAGAATGAGTAGTTCACAAGACTTAGCAAGCAAAGCATGTCAGACAGCAATGAAGTTTTGACACTGAACCTAAATTGGGCGGCCAAGAGTTCTAAACTGATTCTTCAAAGCGCACAGACATCCATCAAAGCAGTACTGGTTAATCTACTAAAACCTTAGTCTAAGGCATAGCATTTATTGTGTGAATCATGGAATTATTTGTTTAACAGGCTCAGGATCAAGACAAATGACAGCAGGTGACAGATAGCTTCACTCCTTCCTTCAGAAAAGGGCACAACCCAGAATATGGAGCGTATATGTTTATCTGTTAAGGCTCTTGCAATCTTGGCTTCAAGATGGAATGCCTACTATACACAAAGTTCCACTGCTCCTTTGGGGGTATTGGACACAGTAATACATCCCTTGTTAAACCAAACTCGTGCTCGGAGTCGTTTATTTGGCCATGATTTCCATAAACTGAGGAATGATCAGGAGATTAGTCTAATAGACTTCAGGAGAATTGTTCATCCTTCTGGCAGTAATTATACTTTTTCCTCTATAGCCCAAGGCTGTTTTGATTCATACATCAGTATCATTATGGCATGTAAATTATTAATCCATAGGTCTGTGGACACAGACACTGACTTCATAATACTTTTAAACAATACATTTGACTGGGAACCATACATATTAATGATGATATTGCTCCTTCCACAAAGTGGAGGTGTAATGATTTGTTACTGCAGAAAGAAGATTTACAAAATGCTCCATAAAAAACAAATTGGTATGTCAGACTAACAGGCAGTTTTGGAGGAGAGGAAAGCTGTCCTAATGGGGGAGAAGAATCCAGTATGTTCTGTTATACAAGAGGTTCAAATTGATGTCTCCTGAACGAAATTTCAACGCTGCATTTTTGAGAAAATAACTGAACTGTTTGCTAAAAGTGCTGCTGAGTGGGTATATTTTCTTGGATTTTAAAAACTCATTGAGAAAGTTCCACATGTACAACTCAAACACAAAAACTCAAGCTATTAACCAGTGCTATTCATGCTGTGCTTAATCTACCTCTGGAGAACTTCCTATAATATATTTCCTGATGGTACCAATAAAATGAGGAAAATAGCCAAGCTTCAGGAAAATCTGGTTCAATTCAGGGTGTGGACCAGTGTGTAAGTGGGGGGGGAAGACAATAATTGATAAGTTTTGCTTGGCTGAGGGGGAGCAGCCTTTTTTTAGCGCTGCTTTTTATGTTATATAATAGTGACCCCAATTAATTGTTGCAAAGACACATTACTACAGATTGCCCTCTTGAAATAGATACAAAAGCGCTTACTTCTGGAGCAGAGTTCCTGAGAGCTGAAGCATTTTAAACTGACAACGATGGGCAAAGGGAAACCATATTGTTTAAATTTTATTTTAGGGTATTTTGAAGAGATACCTATGACTGTTAACTTGCTTGTTATCTGAAGTCTCACAAATCTCACCTTTACTTCATTTAGCTGAACGATGATTACGATCAAACAATTTAAGCTGCTTCAAGCATAAAAAAAATCATCTTTATATAGGCTTCCTCCAGACTGCCACCACAGGATGTAATCGGTCTCAAAGCATTTCCGCAATGTGACCATACCAGAGCTGCATGCAGCTTCCAGAGCGAGCTATTTCAGTACATTGATTAAAACATGATGCTTGCTCAGGGTCTCGCAGATGTTTTGGGATGACTGAGATGGTAGTTCATTGAGGCTCCAAAAGCATTTGGCACTGACTGAATTCATCTCAGAGAATAAACAAGATAGGATCTGGCACCAGATTGAGTAGCAGCACCCGACATGAACAGGTACTCTTTGCACCTCGCTTTTCAGCAACTTTTTAAGTAGAGGTGACTGATTGATTGAAATAATATTTTTAGGGTGTCATTAACATTTTCACATTGAGGATTGAGGGAGTTATTGCCTTTTTTTTGTCATCATTTGTATTTTTATTAATCTGTAGCTTGGTGACCGAACTTGCACAACAATGGTACTCGCTGAGTCTTATAACAAAGGTACTCACCTTTGACAAAAAAAAGTAGCTTTGTTATTCGGGTAGACCAATTTGGCAAGGAACACAGCACTGTGTAATAAATGTGTGACTGAAAGAGAATTGCCTATTGATACAACAGACACATTTCAGGTCTCATTCAGCCCATTGAATCAACATTGGACCTCTCCAGTGTTGAGAAAGTGCAATGTTGGTCAGATTTGTAAAATAAACCATTTCAAATCCAATTTACCTCGCTGCCTTCTGGGTGAGATCCATAGGGAAATCTGGGCAAAGAAGCTGAAGTAGAGAATGGTATTCCTTCACTGTCAACAGGTCTGGAACAGAGAGGTTTCAAATTAAAAGGCACTGTAAAGCAATTCTATGAGATTACATGGAAGGGAACAGTTTACGATGTGAATAAGATCCCGAGTGAGCAAGATCTGGAATCTGAATTATGTTGCTCTTTCATATATTTGAAATGACGTGATTGATTTCCCACTGATGGCGCATAAGCTTTAAACACATCGAGAAAACAGACTTGTGTGCTTTAAACATATGTACAATTTTCACTCTGTAGCATTTCATATCACAAGTTGCTTAAGTCTGACATCTTTAAGCTCTCCAAAGTTTCATTCACTTCCCTGTCATTGGCTAAGTTTAAACACAATACCTCCTTGAAGCTTCTGTGCTGCTGTTTGCTTTATGAAGTAATCAACCAAATTCCCAGGTGCTTTGTCGTGAACAAAGACCAGACAGGTGCAGAGCACTGAAGAATCAATTACTATTTAAAATAACGCTGATGAAAAAAAATTCAAAAACAAACACGTCCATCAGAATACTCATTTGTAATGTTTACTTTCCCAGAACTATCTGTACATCAAAAAGTTGTAAAGGGCCTTTCAATCCTACCTGGATTACTTTATTTTTTTCTGCACCAAAATGCGCAAACTGAAGGTAGTTTTCCTTTTCAAATGTACATTTTTTTTGCCCACAAAATACACAGTCACTACACTTTACAGTGTACCCTGTCAAGCTCTTTGGCAAGTTTCAACGACGTGATAAGGCGCTATATCAAATGCAAGGATTGTTATTATTACAGTGTTCACAAAAATGCTATGAATTCAGAAATGTTCTGTGTATTGCTGCCTATTACACCCTGAAAGAGTACCAGGCCATGCATTCACAGAGACTGAGCCCCACACAACAATTTCCTGATTTGTGTCACAGGGAGGCATGAAGCTGATACAAGGCTGTTCATTGCTGCCCAAATTCATCCGTTCTCATTACCCAAGAATATAGACTGTACGAGAAACAGAAATGACTTTGCTTTTACTGACTGCACAATATTTCATTTTCAAAAGCGCCCCCCAGTTGATGTATGCTTTCCCTGACAGAATAATGAACACATGACTATGATTACAAAGGCACTAATCTAATCGAGGTATTTAGGGAACATTACAAATCATGAAAACAAAGCTTCAACGGTATAATCCATCCACTGAATTAAGTATGTGATTAGAGTTTCGGATTTCCACCCTGGTTTTGCTTATCTGTACCATTTAATTGGATGTGGGAGTTTCATGGCAACAGCTTCGTAGGGTTAGACCTTTAAAATGAGATGACACTCACACGAGAGGATTAATGATTTATTGAGAAATACTGTGTGGTTGATAACTGGGATATTCTGTGTACATTGTGTATTATATAAAACGTAAAGCAGGGATACTGAGATTTGTGCACTGCTCAATTCATAATTCAGCTGTTTAATATAATAATAATCCTTGCATTTGATATAGCGCCTTACCACATTGTTGAAACGTCTCAAAGCGCTTCACAGAATATATTGTAAAGTGAATTGACTTTGTATTTTGTGGGTGAAACGCGGCAGCCAATTGCGCATAATTACCATCACAGATCATTGTGGAGAAACAAAAACTGCACATTTTCCCTTCCCATCTAAATTTCTAATCTCACACTGGTGACTTGCTTGTGAGATGCAGGATTCTATCTCTCTGCCTCACTTGATCAGGCACTTGTAAGTGACAATTAAGTTAATATGTACAATAGTTTCATTATAGAAACATAATTGGGAAGTGCCTGTAGTTAAACCAGTTTAAAAATGAAATGCAATTTAATTGCAAGGAAGTTATATCCATTTAACCAAACTTTAGTTGCAATTATTTTCCTAAGATTTACTGCAAATTTGATAGAAATGCCGATTTAAGAGAATAATCGCTGATGGTAATATTATTTAAAAGTGGCAAACTGCAGAGAATGATAAATACAGAGAATGCGTTACAGTTAATATGTTACATATTCTTATCCAGATGAAATGTACAAGATTCACTTGTAACAAGAACCATTTAGTGCTGCTACAAATGCTCAGACAGTTACAAATTATCAGTTTCTAAATAGTTTATAAATATAGGTCAAGAGATAAAAGCTGTTTCTTTGACAGTGTTGTCATTTTTTGCTTTCATTTTGATATCTTAGTAAAACATGAGACCGGGTTGGAGGAGCAACATCATACATTTCGCTTCTCAGGAGTCCTCCATGTTATCACTAAGGTAATTACTCATTTCCAGTTGCAGCAGTGCTGACAGTTGATGTCGTTCTAATCAAAACTGGTCACATTTTACAAAAGCAAATTGAGTGACCATCTAATATTTTGAGCCTCAGCCAGGGTGCAAGGGGCACTATAATTGGCTACAGCACCTTGGGTTAGGAAGGGGAAAGGGTTCCTCTGATCTTGCTTCAGTGATTTTTACTAGAGGTGTGCATATGCGGAGGTCAGGAGAAAATTATGCTCTGTTACAAAGCCCCCACACAGGTGAATAGACTGCCAACATTCGCTGTCGAGACTCGCACATCAATAATAACGGTGACATATCAGCATCGGTTTGATGCACGATCATATTGACTGTCAATCCAAATTACATTGTGTGAAAATAATTAACTTAATAATTTGACACTTGTAAAATTTCCTGAGGTAAGAGTTCTCTCAAAATTAAACATTAATAGTTTTCTGTTCAACTGAAACTTGAAATGAATAAACCAGCCTAACTTGTTTCACAATATTTGGAAAACAGCACTACAAATTAAAAGGGGAAAAAATATTTAAAGCAGCATTTTTTGAATTCATAATAAAATCTGTATTAGATTTCATTTTTGCTGGTCTCCGAACGAATGATAAGGAATTATTTTTGTTTTGACTCCATGAGGTTTCGACTTGATGTTTTTTTTTCCCTTTATCTTTAACATTTTCACATCACAGTAGTAGTAGTAGTATATAACCTTGTATTGTGCATTTCTGAGATACGAAAGTTATCACTTGATAAAATAGCTGTTGCACTGTAGTTGGGAATTTAAAATAATAAGTACAGTTTTCTTCCAAATATTCTCCCGATAATATTTAGATTTTCCGAGGCTATGTTTGGGTTCTAGACTTGATGTGCATGCTCTAACAATGGTCTGATACTAGATTGGCCTTGTGAAATGTGTGTGTGTGGGTTAACCTCACTCAATCCAACTTTGGGAAACAAAGAGAATTCTGTTTAGAAGAAAGTAACAAATATAATAGATATGCACATGGCATCAGCTGGAACATTGGAAAATTATTAACACATTGTACCAGAACATTGGTACATCAGCACATTGCATCAATGGATCTTCATGACAATACAAGGCATAACAAATAAGAAAATTGTAAGGAGTGTGAAGTTTTTTTTAAAAAGTAATGCATCAACTCGATGCAGCACTCCCACTCACACAGACTTCAAATGCTTTTTTTGGAAACTTGCACTTCAAGCATTCATTCATCTAGCACATATCTATTTCTAATGTAATCCTGGGTGGTTTGATATGGCCCTCCAGCACCATATAGATGCAGGCTTCATATTCACAGGTTCAGTAATTTAGTTTACAGTAGTGTAACTTGAGTCAAATCTTTTGATGTCTTTGATTACAACTGACTGCAGCAATTCTAAATGGCCAAAGCAATTTTGGCACCTTCTCGACAGCTGCTAGGATTGTTGTGCTTTATAATTAGTACCTATCACACGTTTCAAGTGAAAAAAATACATCAGTGCAAAACAACTGGATCACTTTTACAGAAGAACATGAAAGCTGAAGGATTTGTGTTTAATCCAATGATTTGACAATTGCTTCACTTGCTTTGTTTATTGAACATCTTGTTGAACCCTCAGGCAGCTCATTTAATGGTTTGCTTCATGTCAAGGCTGAATATTGACCAACTAAAATTCGGAAGCCCTATTTTTTGGTTGTACTGCAGCACCAGGATATTCAGATCAACTAGTTTTGGTGCTTGTGACAAACTATTATGGACATTACTCCTTTAACCTTTCCCCCGATTCAAATTGTTCCACGTGCTCTTCATCCTCACTAAAATCAAAATTAATTCCATTGGCTCCTCATCTAACATATTCTTTAGTAACTCAAGGTTCCACAGCTCATGACATCCTTCTACAGTGTGCATGCTTTGGTGTCGACTAACTACATCTTGATTTATTTCACCAATTAATAGCACAGATTAACACAACTCAGAAGAGAAAATGTAACAAAATGAACCGCACTGCATCTAACACTTCTGAAAATACTAGAGCATATTAGGACTATTCAGCTCTTTAAATGAAACAATGAGATTCCAAGGCAGATCAATTCCTTCTGATACTCTGGTACGAAGGTAACTGTGCCACATTTCAATCCTGCACAAGAAACTCTTAAGAGTTTAGAAATATTTCTATTCTGAACAAGTGCAATATTAATCCGGTTCTCCCTCAGCATCGAGAAACTAATTTACAATTTTTTTTTACCGCTCAATTCCCCTCTGAATTGATTCTTTACAAATAACTTTGTGACTGCAAGGCTTTGGCTTGCATCCCACAGAGGCTGCTGTCCCTGCCAGCAGTAATTCTCAGATGTCTTAGATGTAGCTTTTGTATCAGAAACCTTGTTCAATCTTGTTGCTTGGGCCTGAAATGGAGACATTGTTTTGGTGGAAAGCCACCAAATAAATCAGTTAATAAAAACTGTTACAGCAGTCTATAAAAAATGCACAACTTTGATAAGATTAGTGCTAAAATGAAAGATATTTTGATTCACAGCTTTTATAGCAAAACGTTCTTTACCAAAATATTCGTGTTTTAAAATAAGTTCTCACGTACTATCACAATAAAGCACCACCCAAATAAGTATTTATAACATGGGGATCATCGAATATGGTTGCAACATAAGAAATCTTGAAACATTTTATATATCTTATGCAACACAAACTATTGGACCACCTGGTTTAACACAGATGTAGCAGCCAGCAATTATGCTGAGTTTATACTACATATTTGGTAGTCAATAAACTTGAAACTGGGGAAGGTTGTGCGTGATCATCAAGATTATTGCTAAAGTGCATTATAGCGCCACTCCTGTGAAAAATGTAGGAAATCCTTCAGAAGTCTTGCCCATTTGTGTACAACTTGACACGTGTAATGGATGTAAGAGATTGGCTGATGAAATCTGCATAGTGAAGGCGAGGGAAACCACCAAAATAGGCTTCAATTCTTTACTACACACTTCACCATCACTGATGTGCAGACATAGACAACAATAACATTGTTGCACCAAACCTTAAGCTTTCAATTAATTTGGCAGCACTTGAGATTATTGTTGTAGTCTATGTGGATAAGGACCATATTTGTCAGTACAGCTGTAATCAGCTTAGCGGTTAAGAGCAATTACGTAAACAAACTTGCGACTGCCAGTTTGTTCTGTTGCTTTACATGCTAAAGTTGGCCAATTGCTGCTGCACACTTTACCTGGTCTCGTGTGTAGTGTGTGTGTATCTTTTCCACATGAACTATGTTGCTATAATATTATATCACCCAGCCAGAATTAATTGTAAATCACCATTGTGGTCATGAGCTTTGAGAACTATTTCAACCTGGAACTTAACCAGTTGCTAAAAGGTATTGCTGTACCTTACATATTTACACTTTGTTTAAAACCAAATCCCACCCTGATTGCTTTTAGCCCAGGTGTACAGATCAGAAACAAATTACAGCAAAGAGTTTTCTCAATCACATTGTTTCGTTGTCAGCAGTCTCTTTATGTGGATTTAGGTGTTTCTTTTACAGGGCATAATCTTAGAAACTCCCTTTGCAGTTCAAACAGAAAGCATCTGAGGTCCACTGCCCATTTATAGTCCATCCCATAGAGACTATATTCAGTTCAAGCAAAGACTCAAACTCTATACCGTCTTGTAGATTTATCTATCGCCACATTCAGTTCTTTATTAAATCACCAGATAACCTAACTAAATACTGAGCTTTCCTTTACTGCAGAAAGGGCAGGAGATTCAGAATTAGCCGTTTACTTCCATTTGCGATAACTCCACTTATTACTTGGGAGTGCAGTGCTGAGGTCGATTTTTCTTCAAAAGGAAAACGTTACCATTGATACTTGCAAGGCATACATTGAAACATTGAATGAAATTCAGCTACAATGTCCAAACACAAATTTGTAACAGTAAAAATGTGGCTCAAGACCCCCACGTTACGATATTGTTTATAGCACGGTTGCGTTGAGGGTGTCAAGAATATGTAATTATTTGGGGGTTCAATCGGATACGTCTGCACACTTAAGCAAGAGATCTATAACTTTATCCTTTTCATCTAGAAAGATATTTTAATGGGCATTTTACTTAAGCAATAATCTACATTATGCTGTGGAACTCAGATGCTAGATATAAAAATTAAAGCTTTGAATAGTAAACATTTGAAATAAAATGTAAAATACTGGAAACACAGTGCACCCAAAAAAGAGAGAGGGATGGGCTAACACTGAGTATGATTCTTCATTGGAACATGTTCATTTCTCTCTTTAAGCTTTGAATTGTATTTGAAAGATGTTTTTCGCTTATTGCACAACATTAAGCCATATTTAAAGTTTTTTTAAAATTAAAAGCAGTAACTGATTGTAATTATTGTTTGATGGGGTTTACTCAGCCGAGTCTGACTGCGCCTGCAAGTTGTAGAAAAAATTGTGAGCTTTCATATTTGAAACAGCTGTCAAATGTAATATTGGTTTAAGGAGCTTTTATATTCCATACAACTGAAAAACAAGACCAGAATTGCTCTGATTGTGCCTAATTCATTTCACTTTGACTAAGAGATTGTTCAGATGTTGCAGTTCTGACATCTCTGCCAAGGCCTTTGTTCTGCAGGTGCAGCAGCTAATCTACCGCTTATGGGCAAAATATGTTTTTTGCAGGACATTGCTTGACATTTTGAACTAAACTTTGAACTACTGTACAATAACTAAGAATACAGTATTTCATTCTGTGAATCTACATAAATTAATTTCAGATGAAGGCCTCTGTACTGTATTTTTTGTGCCGATAGCAGGAGTTATAAGAATAATAAATATTAATCCTTATATTTGATATAGGATTAATATTATTATTATATATGTGATCTCGATGTCGCAAAGCACTTCGCGGGATTTACTGAAGTGTGCAGTGATTGTCTTTTGTAGGCAAAAGAGGTAATTTGTGCACAGCAATGTCCCACAAACTGTCGTTTGATTGTGAAGTGAATCTCTCAGGACCTAGGAGACTTGAGGAGATGGTTTTGCCAGAACATTAATTCCATGTCTGGAGTATAAATTGGTTCATCCTACACTCCTCCTAATCCCCACTCCTGTCCCCTCCAATGTAGTCTATTGCCTTCTCTTTCATACATCCTTGGAGTTTCCTCTTAAATGCACTGATGGTTTCTGGTTCAACCACAGCTTACGGTAATGAGTTCCACATTCTCACTACCCACTGTATAAAAAAAAGTTCCTCCTAAACTCTCTTTTACATTAAGTAGCAGCTATCGTATTTAAGTCCCCCCGTTAAGAGACTCCCCAATAAGTAGAAACAGCCTATTTATGTCCACCTATTCAACCCTTCAATAATTTTAAACACCTCTGTCAGGTTCCCTATTAAATGCCTCATCTCCAAAGAAGAAAACAGTATCCAGTCTTTGTTGATATTTGTATCCAATTATCCTGGGTAACATCCTGGTAAATCTACACAGCTCTCTCTGATATTACAATATCCTTCCTGCAATATGGTGCACAGAATTGCCCTCAGAACTCCAAACGTGGTCCAACCAAAATTTTATATAAATGTAACATTACTTCCTTACTTTTGTACTTAGTGGGAGCTAGACGTAAATCTAGCTTCCTGCTCCAAATCACTCTAATGTTGGCAGTGATGTTGCATTGCTTCTCTTTCAGCAGTGCTGTAAACATGTCATCATACATGTCAAGCAACAAAAGCTAATCATTTTATACACAAGTAAAATGACCAGTTAAATGCAGTGGTAACTTTTTTTTACGAATCAATTATGTTTAAAATTAATGTTTAATTTTACTGATCTGCGAGATTTGTCAATTATAGTGTCAGCTGCGACATTTCTATTTAAAATGATAATTAATCATTTAAACTTCATTAAACATTTAACTATTGAAAGTGCTTTACCTTTCTATATACAGTAAGTACTTTAGGAAAGTGGTCAGAATACAAACCTTGGGGCTATGAGATGAACTCTAAGGAAGACAAGATAGGAAGCAGACATAGAAAATAAAAGAAAACCAAGACTTCTGTTAAAACCATTTTAAAAGAGAGGTGGAAAGAAAATATGTTCCTATGAAGAAAGCAAAACATTGGAAAGATCAAGGTCAAATCAGCTGAATAAAGAAGTCAAATGTAGCCTAAGGATTGAGCAGAAATATTTAACAAATACAAGGAAACAAAAAGTAGTGAGGACAAGGATTCCCTTTTCTCCTTAGTTCCAGTTGAAAGCGCAGGACAGTCCAGCTGTGGGTATTTCCGTTGAGATCAATGTAAGTCTTCTTTCGTACTAAGACTTGTAAACCGCGCCCTTTGGACAAGTGTAAGTTGAGACCCAAGGTGGGGTTAAACTTCGGTCTTCCCTGGTATTCTGCTCCAGCTTGTGGTTCTCAGCCAGTTCACTGCATGCTTAACAGGTTGGAAGTCAGGAGAGGGTAAGTTAGCTAGCAATTATCCTTTAATTGAATAAAAATAAAAGATTCTTTGATTCCAATACCAGATCTAAACTATTTTAAAGTTGGTACGAAGTGTGCAACATGCTATTTGAAATAAAACACATTATCAGATCTAAAGTGTCTAATACTGACGTTGAATACAGTACTGCATAGTGAAGCATGTAGAGACTTCCTCCTCATCCTCAGGTGATTGAATTAGAAGTCTTTCTCGGAAGATTCAGGATCAAACAGCACACCTTTACTCAATGAATTCAGTCTGAGATTCAATTTATTTTCAAGTACAAAAGTTTTGTCAATTGAGCAGTTAGATGGATTAACGTACAGTCACAACCTCATTTAGTGCTTAGAAGAACAATATTTCATCCATGAAATTCATCTTTGTTTTAGACTAGAATTCCAGATTATTAACTAGGAAAAATACCCATGGAAAGTAAATGAAACAAAATACGCATAAAACCAACTAGTGCAATATGGCAATTATTCAATAATCCTCGTACTACAGAAAAACAGATTTCAGTCAATTTCCTGATTAACCCTATTACACTGTTTGTGGTTTGGCATTTTTACAGAACAAATATAGTATAAATCAGTTTTACTTCACCACTAACCACATAAACACTAAGTAACTGTGATATTACTATTGAACACAAATTCAAATAAGAAATGCCTTCATCAAGCAACCAGTAATGGCACAGGTAATCTCTTCGTTTTTTAAAAAAATGCATGCATATCTGAGTTAATAAATGTTAGGACTGGTTTTGAAAAACATTACAATTTTACTTATATTTTTCAAGCAAATACAGGAGTAAATCCATCTTTGCAAGAATGTCTGTGACACTGTATAATTATCACCAAGTTGCAAATCTGACTTACCTCCATTTTTGCCTATCTGACGGAAGCAACGCCAGAATATTCGTAAAAACGAAGCTCTGTTGTATTGGGTGGCTTTGATAAAGCTGAATTCACGGAAAAGTACGTGATTCCCAAGTCGGACACTGTTGAAACTAACAGGAAAGAAAAAATGAAATTAGGTCCTCTGATGCAATTGCCATTTACCATCTCTTTTTCAATGCAAGGGGAGGTAAACATTTAGTGAATAATAATATAATAATCCTTGCATTTGATATAGCACCTTATCAAGTCGATGAGACGTCTCAAAGCGCTTCATAGAATATATTGTAAAGTGTATTTTGTGGACGAATAATGAAAAGGAGGGGCAGTGCAAATGGTTATGACAGATTGGAGGATATCAATATTTTTAATAGGCTTCTCTCAATACTATGTTTTTTAAAAATGCCAATGCTTTACATGTCTTTCAAATCAAAGTGCAGAAAAGATTATTGACAGCATTTTTAGAGAATGTTATATATTGCAGTTTTTTCACACTCAAAAGTTTCTGTTGAATATTAAACGTTTAGGTAATAAATACATATTATACAAATAGAATAGAACTGAAGTCAAAAATAAAGGATTATTGTTTGTGCAACCAATCATTCAGTTCCGGTTAATACATAACTTTAAAAAAAACAATTTCCTCCTCTTAATCCTTGTGTCCTGAAGGTGGTGACCCATGCTAGCATATAGTCCACAGGCAACAGCAGCTCTCTGTTATCTCATTCAAGTGGTCATTCTTCAAGTGCGAGCCTAGACGCTGAGTATCCCCAGGCTATTCAACTGTGGGACAGCAAAGATGACCTAAATTCCATCCCCATCAAATGTCCACACACACACACACACATTTCCAGTAGGTTTTACTTGATGATTACTTCACATGGCTTACTTCAAAGCTGCTTCACTTGACTGTTTTTTCATCTTTATGACCCAGAAGTACACAGACCAATTGCATCAACCTTCCCACTACCCAAGTGAGATCAACTAACTCACCACAGACTGGGGATCGAATCTCAGACATTCCTGGTCTCTATGACTTCTACCACAAAATGCATTGAGATTGCCTGGTAAACCATCAATAAACTAATAAACAACCACAGTTTCAATTCTGCCTGGACTACATTTGACTTTTTCAGGCATTTCATCCAGTTGATATTTTTTCTAACTGGTTGATTTTCCTCCCTGTTTGCAGTTTGGCTGGCCAAGAAAGCAAAGTTACATTTTTTAATTTTAATCAAAGTGATTATTGTTCCTAACCACACCATGAAATGTATTAATTGTGATTCTTTTCAAAAGCTTAATGAAATAAAAAAGTAAAAATAATTCCAATTAACCCAAGCACAAATTGTTTTATTTTGACCCTCAGACCTCCTTCTTTAAGTGATTTTCGGAGATGGATTTCAGCTCTGTCTACACTGTTTTGAATTATGTTTATAATGCATTTACGCTGTAGGTTTTGCATTTAACCTCTGATTATGACAGCCTATTGCTGCCAAATATATACTATAAACACTCTGATATAAATACTATATCAGAGACTTATATATTAATTCCTATTAAAATCTTAAGAAATGCAGAATTGGACCCACGTCTACCATTTCGGCTTTCTTACTGCATATATTGCTTCATCAGCTAAGAATTTCACATCAGTACCTGAATATTCACATGTAAACAAGGCAAGTTAAATAATCATTTCTATTTCCTTGGCCATGAACCTGCCACTGTACAGGGAAATGTAGCAATAGTTTCATAGTCAATCCACTCAGTTTGCTAAGAAATGCATGAGAGAAGCCAGGGTAGCTCATTCTAATACTTCTTCCCTTTTCCAATTCTATTCTTCACTTGCTCCCTCTGCCATTGCACTCAAGTTTAGGACTCCCCATGAGGGGAGAATTGTAGGGCATTTCAGGTTTATAAAAATTGCAAAATATGTAATTCCCAGTGACATTTTAATCTATTTCAATGAAACTTGCTTACTATCACAGTCAAACTCTTATCGTGGAAGTTCAAAAATATTTCCATGTGCAGTAATTTATTCTATTTTATCATGTAAATGCCTTAAATTCTTCTGGGCTTATTCATCTCAGTTAGCCACAAAGAATCGGAAGTAAACTACTTTAGTGTCGAAGGATGATTTTTGAAGACCCAAATGAAGTTAGCGCAAAATTGTTTATGTTCATGTTTGGAGACACACAGCAAAGTAAGTTATTACACAATGAATTTCCCTGCCTTCCCTCATACTTTTCTGAGCAAACTGACTGAATTGCCTGCGAAACTAATGCTACATCTCTGTAAAGTAGCAGCAGGTTCACAGTGAGTGAAACAGAATTGATTATTTAACTTGTTTTGTTTGCATGTGAATATTCTGGCACGTTTTATGCCAATGTGGAACAGTGGCACAACAGATTCCACTTTGGAAAGACGAGTTGTTTCACATTCCTAATCATCCACGTGTGGAGATGCTGATCTTAATCATGTAATAACAGTTCAGGTAATTTGTGTGTATTTTCTACTTTCAAGCATGACGCCAGCCCCCACCCCCCAATGACATTTTACAATCCTGAATAATACACATGGTCATCTCCATAAATATATTCCATTTATATTTATACTATGTTGCTACTAGGTGGTGAAATATTGCTGTTGAGATCCCTTGAAATGTAACAAAACAGCGGTAGAATATTAATGGTGCCTTTGCACCTAGTGGAAGCATTGATATTTGTGTATCTTACCTCTTTAGGTCTGTGACATTAAATAGAGGTTTATTCCAGCCCTGCCATCAATTGCAAAGATTCATTATCAAGAGAGGATTCGTCCTTTCATCTCTTTGCTTGCATGCTGCAACATTTTTCATTTTTATTTAACCATCCTACTGAAAAACAGTAGGATCTGATGCTCACACGAGTGAGTGGGACCTGTTTTCCTGCTAAACCATTCTGTAAGAGCACTGATCTAAGAAGAATATTTGCCATTGCTTAAGAGCCAATAAGTTTATTCAGGAATCTATGCAAACCTGGGCAGGGAAGGAGGGGGGGGTGGTTAAAAAGGGAAAAAAGTGCTATAAATTGAGCAGAAAAACTAAATTCTTCTGTCCCTGCACATTATGCCAGTTGAATGTTTCCATGTGAATGTGAGAGGAAACTGTGCTTCACGACTGGGAATTCAGTCAGCTTTGGAAAAGCTATAACCTATGCAACAGAGAGTTATCTACCACTGGGAGAGCTGTGCGAGTGGATGTTCACATCCATTGTTACAATACCACTCACAGTTTGTATAAATATACTGACTGACTAAAAGTCTGTAAACTTGCGATAAGATTATAATAAAGACAATGATTGGCATTTAATAGAAACTATATTTAATTTTCTTAGGTTATTAAAGAAACCTATATCAGGTCTTTTATAAGCAATTAATATTTAATGTGTCATTTCACACTAAATTTAATCTGTTCCAGAAAATAAATAGATAATTTCTGACATAAATGGAACATATTGCAAGGAAAATGTGATTTATTTGTTTGAGGAAAGTATCACTTACCTTTATTTTTCCAGAAAGTATTTTAATTATATTTGCACCCCCAGGAATACATTTTTGTGGTGTTTATATATTTCAATACACTAGTGTCTTGGTTGGTGTACAATTGTTTTCCTCAGTATATCAAAATAATTAGCTACAATAAAAAATCATGTTCCAGAGTCATCAGTTTTTGAAGCTGTAAAAACAGAATATTTAATGAATACTAGTTTTTCAACCTCAATTGATCATACTCCAATCCCATCAATCATTGGCATTACTCACCTGAAAATAAGAAATTTGGACCAATATCCTTCAAAGCTGAAACCTCACTAAGTCGCATTAATTTCTTGCACAAAACGCTTCATGTCTGGGGTTCTCACGAAATTTAAGGTTCCATTCACTTTAAATCACAATTCCATACAGACAAAGTACCCAAAGAGGTTTAATACTGGGGCAGAAGAATGCTACTTTGGCTCAAGGAGAGATCTGTTCTCACATTATTTTGAGAAACTTGAATGAAGGTCCAAGACCCACTGTACAGAACACCACTAGTGTTGAAAGAGGGAAAACTGAAGTAAAGATGTCTATCAGGTAATGCATTGCTTGGTTTTTAAAACCCGACGAATTGTAAGGGAATACTGAAGGAGTTTATATGTGAGATGGGATCTTGGGAGTCTAACCATAAGCTGTTCACTAGCCCGAGCAATGAATGTACTTGATTTTGATATATGTAACATCCTATCCTCGGGGAAAATTAAAAGGATAGACTGCAGGTGCTGAAAATGCAAAATTGAAAGGCTGTGCAGATAGCGAAAATAGCTTAACATTGATGCTTAACATTTCTTCAGAAGATGAAATTAAAGAGGAGATATTGTCTCAGTGTATCGGAATATTAAAAGTAGTCATGCATCCATAAATACTTAAAAGGATATATTGTTGCCGATACCAACACCCAGTACTCAGTAAAACAAGATTATCATACCAATACCAGTAACGTCATTAGAAATTGTCGGAGTACAAATACGCAATATTCCTTTAGAATCGGAGGTTGCGATAACTGAATTGAACTTCATGTACCATTTGTATTCGTCTTTATCTGGTACATAGTCTTATACATACTAATCTTATAACAAGTAGCTTCCAGTCGACCGTGTGAGGAATTTAACACTATTTATACTTTTTCAACATGGTTTAAAAATTGTCATGTGGTAACAGTATTAAAATGTAATCTGTGTTTACATTCCATTTGAAAACGTCCACAAATCATATACACACAGGTGGAAACGTGCACTGAGGTATTTCTGCTAAACCTGCAATTTCTTAACCATGTCTTGGAAACAAAATGTCCTACTTCAAGCAGGAGCTTGTGCAAAGTCTGCTATACTAAAGTGCAGAATTCACATATATAGGCAGGATATTAACTTGTGTTATTTGCCTTGGCAACTGTTTCCATACAGCATGGTTGAACTGGCATGTCAAATATTTCCTTGTGTACCTTTAGTTGGGGTCATTCTTCATTACTTTACATTTCTTTACGTTTTTAAATGTAATTAGTTATTTGTCTGCCCAGTTTCTCAAAGCATTGAAAACAAAGCAA